CCAAGGCTTCGAGGATTCGTTATAGCATGATGCAAGCCTCCAGACAGGCTTCGAGGCAGGCCTCGAGGCAGGCCTCGAGGCAGGCTTCCAGACCCTCGAGAATATGTTTTTATTTTTTTCCGTCCAACGCGTCCGAGGCTTTCGCCAGGTCGTTACACAAGCTTTTACTTGCCGGAAAGTGAATTGACATGCATGAAAAGCCGCAAAAGAGAGCTGGTGTGGACCTTTACATAGTCCATAAAGCTATCCGATTGCCAAGAGCGAGCACAAACCAACAAAAAAGCAAACGAAACAAAAACCACAAAAAGCAAAACACACAAAAAACAACCAAACAAACAAGACAGAACAGAACAAAACAAAAAACAGGGCAAAAGGACAGCAATGTGCTCTTGAGATGAATTCCGATAGCAACTTGTGTGCCATCCTTCGCGCAGGCCATCATACATCTCGACGCATGCACATGACAACTTCTGTGCCATGTCAACGCAGGCCCTTAAACAAGAAAACAACCAAAAAAACAACCAAAAATCACCCAGGGCCACAATCACAGGGTGCTGAAGCAACACAGCTCAATGCGGAAACCAGGGATCCCCCCAGCCAGGATCCCCGAGATCTCAAAGAGCAGCCATCATGGCATAATATAGCAGCAAAACACTTTGAAGCAAACACCGTCAACGCCGGGTCACAAGAGAGAGAAAGAGAATAGAGAGAAAAGAGAGAATAGAGAATATCTCGAGAATATGTTTTTAAGCATGAAGCAAGCCTCGAGGCAGGCTTCGAGGCAGGCCTCCAAGCCTCGAGGATGTGCTTTTAAGGATGAAGCAAGCCTCGAAGCAGGCTTCAAAGCAGGCCTTGAGGCAGGCCTCGAGGCAGGCTTCCAGGGCCTCAAAGATATATTTTTTAGCATGAAGCAAGCCTTGAAGCCCTACCAAATGCAAGCAACCAAAACAAATCCATGCAGGCAGAAGTCGAGAGAGTCAGTAGCCCCAAACGAACGCCAAAAAGACATTCAGCAGCCAAAGACTTTAGTGTCTGGCGACAAACCTGCTTCATCATGGCCCCCAAAACAAGATCCAAAAAACTAGTAGAAACAGGGAAGCCATGAAGGGACCTCGACTGTAGTGTAGGGATAGGAGATCCTACCGGGGAGGCCCTGCTTGGGGGCTTCAGAATTGTGAGTCCAAAATGGGCTCCATTTTGGGGTCCGCATTACCGGCCAGGAAGTCTTGAAAGATGAGTTGCAAAAACTCAAGGGCCAGCAGGCTGACCTGCGCAAAGCCATGCAGCAGAATCGCAAAGAAGCAAGGAATGCAACCAAGCGCAAGAACCGTTTGGTCAAGGCGCTGCGCAAACTTCTGAAGGTGAAAGCTTTCAGTTCACGGCGAGAGCGATCTTTTGTGCAAACAGTGCAACGTTTAACCCTATATTGCTTATTGTCAGGTTCTTCGTGTCCCCCCTTGGTGTGTGTACACTGATGTATCAAGTTTGAGATACGTAGTTTGGTTGTCTGATGTGTTGTTGTTCCATTTTTTGGAGTTGCGCTGTTTCAGAATTTGCTTCTAAGATTCCAAGGTATCTGGTGTCAGGTAACTCGTCCAAGGCTGATGGGTTGGTGGTATGTGAGGCAGCCAAGATGCTGTCAAAAGAAGATTTGAAGTTGTTGATCGAAGCGAAAGAGGCCAGAGAAGCTCAGAAGCCTTGCTATGCATTGTGCCGTCTGTGCTGACTCAGGCGGCTCCTCCGGTGCCTGTGCCAGACCAGGCTGGGTAGATTCACGTATTGCGGAGGGAAAGCTTCAGATGATCACATGTAACTTTGATTACCTTTGTTGCTGTAGGTGCGGGAAGGCCAAGACGTGCGTGGACTTGCAGGCCAGGTGGTTGACCGGCTGTCTTTTAGGACTGGTTGCGGCTAATGCATTACTGGAAGATGAAGTAGAAGCCTCGGTCTTGTTTCATTTTGAATTCCCCGCTGACAGCCCTTCCATTCTGCATTTTCACCCACGTTCTTGCTTTTCATATCGTGGCCTTGCAGGTCAAGGCCCTGGGGAAAAGGCCGAGTGAGGAACATCTGGCTCAGGTTGAATGGCTTTGGTGGTTGATCTCTGTTGTTTCAAGATTCATTTCTGACAAGTGGATAGCGTAGAGGTCGTCCAGGTAAGCCAGTGATATAGTCTGCAGCAGATAGGAAGCTACAGTTGCGGTGGCACAGATTGCAAGCTGCCCTTGGCATGCTCGCGGTCTTGGAACCGCGTTCTTGTTTGCTGAGCTGTGCAGAGGCAGTGGTGTAAACAGCAAAAGAAGGGCTGTGTGTGAGTAGGTGAGCGAAGACAGCAGAGTTTGTGATGTTTTACAACATGTCTTTCAAACCAACAATGGACAAAAGCTGGTTTGGAATCGGCCAGCCGTTTTTTTGACCACCTTTCTACCAGCTTTTTGAGGAATTTGCGCTGAAGAGCAGGGCCAGTGTGCATGTCTTGTTTGGTGTACTCGGAACGGTGGACGAGCGTCATCGTGGAGTTATTTTGTGCCAGTCTTCCTGAGGCCGGTGTTCAATGCCATGGGTGGGTGGCTGAGATGTTGCTCATTGGATGGCGGTACAGATTTGGATGTTAGTCGTTTTCAGCTTTGACTTGGTTGTCTCTTCGATGTATCTTTCTTGAACTTGCAGATTGTACGGAACTGGTTCATTGTTATTTGTCGTGCTGTTATCCTTTGTGGTCAGTGATTTTCAGATTTCACACTCATCTCCATTGATTCGATGGTCAGGCTCTGTGTTTGGATTTTTCATTTTCATTGGATGGATTTCTTTTGGGTTCCCGTTTAACCATTGGTTTTGGCGCTCCTCATTTCCTCCCTTCCTATGCTTCGTCGCTCACGTACTCATCACATAAAGAACAGCGTAGCATTTTGTAGCGATGGATTTTTGGTGTCTTGGCAGATCCTGTAACAGCTTTTTGTAGTGAATTGTCACTTTTTGTTCCCCGGTGCAGGTCTGCCCTGAAAATGCGCACATGCGCATTTCTTGACTCTCTATCTCTTGACTGGCTGATCAACAGCATTTTTCCATATTGTCGGAAGTTGGACTTCTAAACTTGGGGTCGTGCACGCTGATCTTGTATGCTACCAAAACCTGTGCGCAACTCACCCTATGGAATACACAGGGATTTCACGGCTGCTTTATCAGAGCGAGAGCGTGATTGAGGAAAGCGAGTTGCCAGGGTCTGGATCTCATCAGTTTTCCACAAGTCTGGTAAAAGCTTCTTTAGGCTAGGAGCAAGCAGCTTGTGCAGTGAGACATTGTCATGACGGTCATGGAATTGATGCACAGACTGAATTTGAAACATCTTTTTGTCTTTGAGTTGCCCAGGTCTAGGTTTGTTAGCGCATTTTTCCAGCGTGACAGTTGCCCTACCGAGGTTTCATGGACTTCAACGATCCGGCTCGTCTGCCCTGAGCTCAGCGACGACAAGCAAAAAAGACACAGAAAGAAAGCGAGAGAGAAAGAAACAGCGCAGAAGAGAGAGGGAAAGGAGCGAGACTCATTTGCCGTTTTTCCGAGCAAAGCATTGCCGCATTGCAGCAGGTTTCTGGCTCATTTTGCGTAGCCCAAACAATACGTACCCCAGCAATGACCCAAGGTCGGCGCCCGGAGAGGGCGCTGTGTGTGAGAGTGTTGAACCGTGTCGCGCGCAAGTGTGGCCTGCAACCAGTCGCTGACAATGCTGCCCGAGCCAAAGTGGAATCGCTTGCAGCAGATGTCCTGGCCCGTGACCTTCTTCCTGCCGATGTGGAGGCAGTGAACAATAGCATGCAAAAGTACCAAGCGACTTTTGAAGCAGCAGTGCCAAACCCGGAGGGTCCTCCGCAGCCTTTGGCAAGTCCAACAACCTACAAATTTCAAGCCGTGCAGTTGACGTACAATTCTTCAGCAGCTGCGTTTGTGTCCCAGGACTTCGTAGAACTTGAAGCTTTGTTTGAACGGTTCAAAGTCTTTTTGGCTTCTTTGCGAGCATCTTTGTCTGTGATTGGCGTCTCTGCCACCATGGAGCGGGCATCACCTGAGCGAGTTCATTTGCATGCCTACTTGCATCTGTCCAAGCCATTCCACCGTCGTGGGGCTGACGCCTTGGACATGTTCAAGTTTGAAGGCTCATCGCCTCACGTGGAGCCCAACAGGGCATCTGGGAAGGCCTACATTGGTGCTGTGCGGTTTGGCCACTTCTACGTGGTTTGTGACAAGAAAGGCTCCTTGCTTCTTGGCAGTGACTTGGGAAAAGTGCCGGACTAAAATTCTAAAGGGTTTGCGTGGGGTCATTGGTTGGTTGTAAATGGCCGCGGACATTGGGTTACCTTGAGAATAGTATTATAGCGGCCCGAGTCCCCAACCAACCTCAAAACCGGAAATAGTATGGCAGAAGGCTTCAAAACCAGAACCTCAAAAAACCTCATCAATCGATTGAGAACCTCAAAACGTATTGGAAACGGGAGTCGCAAGCAAAACCTCAAAAAACCTCAGAAAACCTCAAATGCATCAGAGCCTAGCAGGTTTGGGTACAGAAATGCAGTTTTGTGGACCCCAAAGTTCCTAATAGACGGGCAGAAGTGTGACATTTCCAGATTATGAGAATGGGCGACAGCTGGACTTGCAGGTTCAACTTCAGTGATTGGCCACCTTTCCAAGCTTATGGCGTGGAAGGATGGTGGTTGGACAACTTGCTGAAGGCCGGGAAGCTTGAGCGGCATGTCTATTTGCGTTTGGCGGCCCAGGTGACAGTGGGTTTCCAGAAGCGTTTGGCAGATTGCCGCGCCGCGGAAAGGTTTGAGCATGACTTGCGAGTGCAGGAAGCAGTGGATGCTGCCACAGGTGAACTGCAACAAGCCATTTTGCCCATGAAGACCTTTGATGTGGTGGAGGCTGGGGTGTTTAAACAGATGAAAGATAGCAGATAGCAGGGTTTTGGTGGGGGTGTGCAATGTTTAAGCGAAGCAACTGTCCAGGAGTTCATTGCCTGCCATGACGGCGCAGCACGCTTCCGCAGACCAATCCTTGCCATTGTTGGCAGCACTCGCCTGGGGAAGTCCATGCTTGCAGTGGACATACTCAAACGCATTGCGGGCTGTTTGAACTTGCCAAGCTTTTTGGAGATCACAGTGGAAGACAGCGAGCAGATGGACTTAGCTGACTTTGACAGAGGCCAGCACGCTGGAGTCATATTGGATGGAGTTGGTGATGCTTACTTTCTCAAGCGGAATCGAGAGGTTTTGCAGGGGCGCCCCAAAATTGTCAAGGGTGCCCGATCGGCCACCAATGTTTACAGCTACAAGTACTCCTTTTGTTCCAGGGCAGTGGTTGCAACATTTGACTTGGGGGCATCCAACCTGACGGCTTTGAAGTCTGACCACTGGTTGCAAAACCGAAACAATGTGCAGTTGCTCTGGCTGGAGGCCCCTGTTTACCGTCAGCCAAGCCTCCCGACTCCAGCTGCTGATGTCTGGAATGGCTCCGAGGACGGCCGCCGCAAAAGGCGTTGGATTGGTTCGCCTGCGCGTGTTCTTGACTTTGGCGCCAGCTAAAAAGATGTGAGTTCAAATTTTTGACCTGCGTTGGTTTTGATGGTTTTGGCTTTCCTTTTGTCAGATGAGTTTGGCTATGCAGACACATGTGATACGATAGGAAGGCAGTCCTGCATCATTGCAACTTTGTTTGAATCTGTGGTGTTTGTCCTTCATGTGGCTTTGCTAAGCTTGTATACGTGTTGAGGCCTGCGATGACACGTCCCATCCTCAAAAGGAGTTGTTTGCGTTTACTTTCAGCCTGTGACCGGTTTCAATTGAACAGGTGACTGAAGCTAGCCTGGCTTTGTGTGTCAGTGTTTGGCGTTCGTTTGCTGACCAGTTTGCAGTAACTGTTCCATGGTTCACGTTCTTCGTGGATGGCTCCGGTCGCCAGTCTCTCAGATTGTCGGCCAAACTTGTTTTTTCCAATGTCCGAGCTCTGTGATTTCAAAGTGTTCCCATCCAGGCATTATGAAACGGCAGTGCTTACCTTGGCTCAAGTCGAACTTTTGGCACCAGTTGCGATCATGCCGCCGAAAGCTAAAGCTGCCGCCAAAGCTAAGTCGAAGGCGGAGGCCTTGCCTTGGGCACGGTGGGTGTTTGGTTTCTTCTAAGAGAGCATTTTTGGAGGTTGGTTTTGGCCTTTAAAAGTGGGTCCGTATTTTAGGCCAATTTTAGGGGTCTCACCTCGGGACCTCCTCTGTATGCCAGTAGGATGGCCATAGACAGTTTACGGCTACTGTACAAGTTTGGCCGCTTTACGGTTGTCTTCAAACTGGCATACTGTTTCTTGGCTCAGACTCTTGTGGTAGGCGTCTGCAGTTCTTCTTTTCGGTAGCATGTCCGACGAATTAGCTGAACTGCAGAGGAAGATAGCCAACTTGCAAAGGCGCCTCCGACGGGCCGCCAAGAGAAAGAAAGTTCGTGCGGACAAAGTTGACAAGCAATCCCTGGTTCTCTTCACTTTTTCCGGACATCGTGCAGATGTTGCTGCTCATTTTCACCTTTCCATGTCGGACTCTTTCTCATCATTGGACAGCGCTGTGGCGCATGTAGAATGGTGCTACATCAAAGCACCCTTAGAACACAAGGTTCGGATCATGTTGGATCCTTCCAGCCAGCTTCCGAGGTGTGCATTGTTGCCAGCATTCAGTTTCTTACTTTTGTTTCAGCTGCGCGAGTGGGTGCGGAAAATGAACCATGAATTTGGCGTCGCCCCTTCACGGCGCATGCTATGTGAACGTTTACGTGAACTGATGCCTGAAAATTTGCCTGGGGAGTTGAGCGCCCGACTGCTCCGTCCCTTGGCCACAGCGCGAAGCCAGCGGAAGTATTTCAGTGCATTCAGAAAGCGGTTCGGGTGCAAGCTTGGCAGACTCCGAACCAGTCCGCCAATGCCGTTGTAGGAGAAGCAGTCCAAGGTTGGGATGTGTCATGGGACCTTTAGACAATTTTGTTTTGTTAATGCCCCGCAACTTCTTGCACGTGTCCGCAATACATGAAACAAAGTTTGATAAGTGACTGTCAACCTGCAATGTTTGTGTTTTTTCTGCACGGGCTGAGAATTTAGGATTTGGGTCTTGGGTTTAGTGCAAGGTGGCTGTTTTTTTGGGCCGCTTAAAGCCAGATGATGTGCTGCAATTTTGGCCAGAAAGCGGACCCGGTTTTAGGGTCCAGAAAATGGACCCCGAAATGGCAGCCGCCGATCCAAAATGAAAAGAATCCTATTTTAATATGGAAGCGGCCGCAATTTTAGGGTCCAAAAAAATGGACGCCGAAAATGGGACGCCAAAATGGGGGCCATTTTCGGGTCAATTTTTGGCTTCTCAGGCGTTGGCTTTTTGGCAGTGGTGCAACTTCGCTTTGCGTGAAGCAAGCCGAGAACCTTTGGTCATCAATTTGGATGAGTCCAGCATTGGCTTTCACTGGAGCGGTTTGTTTGGCACGGTTTCGGACCGTGAGGCTACAGACAAAGTCAAATCCACGACCGCGAAAGCAAGGGCAACATACATTTGTGCTGTGACGCACGATCTAGAAGTTCAGCAGCTCTTGCCCCAGGTGCTTCTTGGAAACACCCGTTGCTTCACAACTGCATTTGTGCAGCAGGCAGCAGAGCTTTTTCCCCATTTAGTGGTTTGGAGAGAGAAATCTGCTTGGAACACGCAGCGCTTGATGGCCAAATATCTGCGTTGTCTTGGTGACAGACTTGGACCAATCCTGGAAACCCGTCAAGTTTACTTGCTTTTAGATTTGGCACCATGTCACCTGCATGACTCCTTGTTTGACTTGGCCTACACTTTGGGCTTGCGTTTTCTATATATTCCTCCAGGGATGACTTCTTTGCTGCAGCCTTGTGACAGTCACGTTTTTGCAGCGTTCGAACATGATTTGCAAGAGACATGGAGGCAAAGAAAGGCCACGGCCCTGGCAGGACAAGTCACTTTGGAAATCTGGCTGGAAATTGTTGCCATGGCTATCGCAAAGCTTGCTTCCAAGCCATGGCGGCATGCGTTTGACAGCAATGGAATTTTCGATCGCCAGCAGAAAGCTTCATCTGCTTTGCTCCGCAAGCTTGGCTGGGCTCACGTTCCGCTTGTGCCTTCGGCACTTCTGACTGGCGCTTTGGATCAATTTCTTTTCCCTGTGAACTGGCAAGGCAACGCAGCTAAGTACATACAGTGGAACCCGCATGCAGTCCGCACGTTAGACTGACCTTAGACGCGTCTTGAAAAGATGGGTTTGTTGGTTGCGCACGAAGCACGTACCGGGGAGGCCCTGCTTGGGGGCTTCAGAATTGTGAGTCCAAAATGGGCTCCATTTTGGGGTCCGCATTACCGGCCAGGAAGTCTTGAAAGATGAGTTGCAAAAACTCAAGGGCCAGCAGGCTGACCTGCGCAAAGCCATGCGGCAGAATCGCAAAGAAGCAAGGAATGCAACCAAGCACAAGAACTGTTTGGTCAAGGCGCTGCGCAAACTTCTGAAGGTGAAAGCTTTCAGTTCACGGCGAGAGCGATCTTTTGTGCAAACAGTGCAACGTTTAACCCTATATTGCTTATTGTCAGGTTCTTCGTGTCCCCCCTTGGTGTGTGTACACTGATGTATCAAGTTTGAGATACGTAGTTTGGTTGTCTGATGTGTTGTTGTTCCATTTTTTGAGTTGCGCTGTCTCAGAATTTGCTTCTAAGATTCCAAGGTATCTGGTGTCAGGTAACTCGTCCAAGGCTGATGGGTTGGGGGTATGTGAGGCAGCCAAGATGCTGTCAAAAGAAGATTTGAAGTTGTTGATCGAAGCGAAAGAGGCCAGAGAAGCTCAGAAGCCTTGCTATGCATTGTGCCGTCTGTGCTGACTCAGGCGGCTCCTCCGGTGCCTGTGCCAGACCAGGCTGGGTAGATTCACGTATTGCGGAGGGAAAGCTTCAGATGATCACATGTAACTTTGATTACCTTTGTTGCTGTAGGTGCAGGAAGGCCAAGACGTGCGTGGACTTGCAGGCCAGGTGGTTGACCGGCTGTCTTTTAGGACTGGTTGCGGCTAATGCATTACTGGAAGATGAAGTAGAAGCCTCGGTCTTGTTTCATTTTGAATTCCCCGCTGACAGCCCTTCCATTCTGTATTTTCACCCACGTTCTTGCTTTTCATATCGTGGCCTTGCAGGTCAAGGCCCTGGGGAAAAGGCCGAGTGAGGAACATCTGGCTCAGGTTGAATGGCTTTGGTGGTTGATCTCTGTTGTTTCAAGATTCATTTCTGACAAGTGGATAGCGTAGAGGTCGTCCAGGTAAGCCAGTGATATAGTCTGCAGCAGATAGGAAGCTACAGTTGCGGTGGCACAGATTGCAAGCTGCCCTTGGCATGCTCGCGGTCTTGGAACCGCGTTCTTGTTTGCTGAGCTGTGCAGAGGCAGTGGTGTAAACAGCAAAAGAAGGGCTGTGTGTGAGTAGGTGAGCGAAGACAGCAGAGTTTGTGATGTTTTACAACATGTCTTTCAAACCAACAATGGACAAAAGCTGGTTTGGAATCGGCCAGCTGTTTTTTTGACCACCTTTCTACCAGCTTTTTGAGGAATTTGCGCTGAAGAGCAGGGCCAGTGTGCATGTCTTGTTTGGTGTACTCGGAACGGTGGACGAGCGTCATCGTGGAGTTATTTTGTGCCAGTCTTCCTGAGGCCGGTGTTCAATGCCATGGGTGGGTGGCTGAGATGTTGCTCATTGGATGGCGGTACAGATTTGGATGTTAGTCGTTTTCAGCTTTGACTTGGTTGTCTCTTCGATGTATCTTTCTTGAACTTGCAGATTGTACGAAACTGGTTCATTGTTATTTGTCGTGCTGTTATCCTTTGTGGTCAGTGATTTTCAGATTTCACACTCATCTCCATTGATTCGATGGTCTGGCTCTGTGTTTGGATTTTTCATTTTCATTGGATGGATTTCTTTTGGGTTCCCGTTTAACCATTGGTTTTGGCGCTCCTCATTTCCTCCCTTCCTACGCTTCGTCGCTCACGTACTCATCACATAAAGAACAGCGTAGCATTTTGTAGCGATGGATTTTTGGTGTCTTGGCAGATCCTGTAACAGCTTTTTGTAGTGAATTGTCACTTTTTGTTCCCCGGTGCAGGTCTGCCCTGAAAATGCGCACATGCGCATTTCTTGACTCTCTATCTCTTGACTGGCTGATCAACAGCATTTTTCCATATTGTCGGAAGTTGGACTTCTAAACTTGGGGTCGTGCACGCTGATCTTGTATGCTACCAAAACCTGTGCGCAACTCACCCTATGGAATACACAGGGATTTCACGGCTGCTTTATCAGAGCGAGAGCGTGCTTGAGGAAAGCGAGTTGCCAGGGTCTGGATCTCATCAGTTTTCCACAAGTCTGGTAAAAGCTTCTTTAGGCTAGGAGCAAGCAGCTTGTGCAGTGAGACATTGTCATGACGGTCATGGAATTGATGCACAGACTGAATTTGAAACATCTTTTTGTCTTTGAGTTGCCCAGGTCTAGGTTTGTTAGCGCATTTTTCCAGCGTGACAGTTGCCCTACCGAGGTTTCATGGACTTCAACGATCCGGCTCGTCTGCCCTGAGCTCAGCGATGACAAGCAAAAAAGACACAGAAAGAAAGCGAGAGAGAAAGAAACAGCGCAGAAGAGAGAGGGAAAGGAGCGAGACTCATTTGCCGTTTTTCCGAGCAAAGCATTGCCGCATTGCAGCAGGTTTCTGGCTCATTTTGCGTAGCCCAAACAATACGTACCCCAGCAATGACCCAAGGTCGGCGCCCGGAGAGGGCGCTGTGTGTGAGAGTGTTGAACCGTGTCGCACGCAAGTGTGGCCTGCAACCAGTCGCTGACAATGCTGCCCGAGCCAAAGTGGAATCGCTTGCAGCAGATGTCCTGGCCCGTGACCTTCTTCCTGCCGATGTGGAGGCAGTGAACAATAGCATGCAAAAGTACCAAGCGACTTTTGAAGCAGCAGTGCCAAACCCGGAGGGTCCTCCGCAGCCTTTGGCAAGTCCAACAACCTACAAATTTCAAGCCGTGCAGTTGACGTACAATTCTTCAGCAGCTGCGTTTGTGTCCCAGGACTTCGTAGAACTTGAAGCTTTGTTTGAACGGTTCAAAGTCTTTTTGGCTTCTTTGCGAGCATCTTAGTCTGTGATTGGCGTCTCTGCCACCATGGAGCGGGCATCACCTGAGCGAGTTCATTTGCATGCCTACTTGCATCTGTCCAAGCCATTCCACCGTCGTGGGGCTGACGCCTTGGACATGTTCAAGTTTGAAGGCTCATCGCCTCACGTGGAGCCCAACAGGGCATCTGGGAAGGCCTACATTGGTGCTGTGCGGTTTGGCCACTTCTACGTGGTTTGTGACAAGAAAGGCTCCTTGCTTCTTGGCAGTGACTTGGGAAAAGTGCCGGACTAAAATTCTAAAGGGTTTGCGTGGGGTCATTGGTTGGTTGTAAATGGCCGCGGACATTGGGTTACCTTGAGAATAGTATTATAGCGGCCCGAGTCCCCAACCAACCTCAAAACCGGAAATAGTATGGCAGAAGGCTTCAAAACCAGAACCTCAAAAAACCTCATCAATCGATTGAGAACCTCAAAACGTATTGGAAACGGGAGTCGCAAGCAAAACCTCAAAAAACCTCAGAAAACCTCAAATGCATCAGAGCCTAGCAGGTTTGGGTACAGAAATGCAGTTTTGTGGACCCCAAAGTTCCTAATAGACGGGCAGAAGTGTGACATTTCCAGATTATGAGAATGGGCGACAGCTGGACTTGCAGGTTCGACTTCAGTGATTGGCCACCTTTCCAAGCTTATGGCGTGGAAGGATGGTGGTTGGACAACTTGCTGAAGGCCGGGAAGCTTGAGCGGCATGTCTATTTGCGTTTGGCGGCCCAGGTGACAGTGGGTTTCCAGAAGCGTTTGGCAGATTGCCGCGCCGCGGAAAGGTTTGAGCATGACTTGCGAGTGCAGGAAGCAGTGGATGCTACCACAGGTGAACTGCAACAAGCCATTTTGCCCATGAAGACCTTTGATGTGGTGGAGGCTGGGGTGTTTAAACGGATGAAAGATAGCAGATAGCAGGGTTTTGGTGGGGGTGTGCAATGTTTAAGCGAAGCAACTGTCCAGGAGTTCATTGCCTGCCATGACGGCGCAGCACGCTTCCGCAGACCAATCCTTGCCATTGTTGGCGGCACTCGCCTGGGGAAGTCCATGCTTGCAGTGGACATACTCAAACGCATTGCGGGCTGTTTGAACTTGCCAAGCTTTTTGGAGATCACAGTGGAAGACAGCGAGCAGATGGACTTAGCTGACTTTGACAGAGGCCAGCACGCTGGAGTCATATTGGATGGAGTTGGTGATGCTTACTTTCTCAAGCGGAATCGAGAGGTTTTGCAGGGGCGCCCCAAAATTGTCAAGGGTGCCCGATCGGCCACCAATGTTTACAGCTACAAGTACTCCTTTTGTTCCAGGGCAGTGGTTGCAACATTTGACTTGGGGGCATCCAACCTGACAGCTTTGAAGTCTGACCACTGGTTGCAAAACCGAAACAATGTGCAGTTGCTCTGGCTGGAGGCTCCTGTTTACCGTCAGCCAAGCCTACCGACTCCAGCTGCTGATGTCTGGAATGGCTCCGAGGACGGCCGCCGCAAAAGGCGTTGGATTGGTTCGCCTGCGCGTGTTCTTGACTTTGGCGCCAGCTAAAAAGATGTGAGTTCAAATTTTTGACCGGCGTTGGTTTTGATGGTTTTGGCTTTTCTTTTGTCAGATGAGTTTGGCTATGCAGACACATGTGATACGATAGGAAGGCAGTCCTGCATCATTGCAACTTTGTTTGAATCTGTGGTGTTTGTCCTTCATGTGGCTTTGCTAAGCTTGTATACGTGTTGAGGCCTGCGATGACACGTCCCATCCTCAAAAGGAGTTGTTTGCGTTTACTTTCAGCCTGTGACCGGTTTCAATTGAACAGGTGACTGAAGCTAGCCTGGCTTTGTGTGTCAGTGTTTGGCGTTCGTTTGCTGACCAGTTTGCAGTAACTGTTCCATGGTTCAGGTTCTTCGTGGATGGCTCCGGTCGCCAGTCTCTCAGATTGTCGGCCAAACTTGTTTTTTCCAATGTCCGAGCTCTGTGATTCAAAGTGTTCCCATCCAGGCATTATGAAACGGCAGTGCTTACCTTGGCTCAAGTCGAACTTTTGGCACCAGTTGCGATCATGCCGCCGAAAGCTAAAGCTGCCGCCAAAGCTAAGTCGAAGGCGGAGGCCTTGCCTTGGGCACGGTGGGTGTTTGGTTTGTTTTTTATGGGAGTTGGGTGGGGGCTGGTTGGATGGGGTCGGGCGGGGGAGGGAGTGCAGGGGGTTGGAACTTTTCTTGGATGCACACAGCGTCAGGGGTGTGGGCTGCACGACGGTGCGTGGGGGGTGCCGGAGGGGCGATCTAGGGGAGTTGGAGGGAGGGGGTTTGGAGAGGGGGGGTGGAAGGCCGTGGGAGGGGGTGGGGGCGGGGGGTTTTTTTGTTTATTTTTTTTTATTTTACTTCTAAGAGAGCATTTGGAGGTGGTTTTGGCCTTTTTAAAAAGGGGTCCGTATTTAGGCCAATTTAGGGGTTCTCACCTCGGGACCTCCTCTGTATGCCAGTAGGATGGCCATAGACAGTTTACGGCTACTGTACAAGTTTGGCCGCTTTACGGTTGTCTTCAAACTGGCATACTGTTTCTTGGCTCAGACTCTTGTGGTAGGCGTCTGCAGTTCTTCTTTTCGGTAGCATGTCCGACGAATTAGCTGAACTGCAGAGGAAGATAGCCAACTTGCAAAGGCGCCTCCGACGGGCCGCCAAGAGAAAGAAAGTTCGTGCGGACAAAGTTGACAAGCAATCCCTGGTTCTCTTCATTTTTTCCGGACATCGTGCAGATGTTGCTGCTCATTTTCACCTTTCCATGTCGGACTCTTTCTCATCATTGGACAGCGCTGTGGCGCATGTAGAATGGTGCTACATCAAAGCACCCTTAGAACACAAGGTTCGGATCATGTTGGATCCTTCCAGCCAGCTTCCGAGGTGTGCATTGTTGCCAGCATTCAGTTTCTTACTTTGTTTCAGCTGCGCGAGTGGGTGCGGAAAATGAACCATGAATTTGGCGTCGCCCCTTCACGGCGCATGCTATGTGAACGTTTACGTGAACTGATGCCTGAAAATTTGCCTGGGGAGTTGAGCGCCCGACTGCTCCGTCCCTTGGCCACAGCGCGAAGCCAGCGGAAGTATTTCAGTGCATTCAGAAAGCGGTTCGGGTGCAAGCTTGGCAGACTCCGAACCAGTCCGCCAATGCCGTTGCAGGAGAAGCAGTCCAAGGTTGGGATGGGTCATGGGACCTTTAGACAATTTTGTTTTGTTAATGCCCCGCAACTTCTTGCACGTGTCCGCAATACATGAAACAAAGTTTGATAAGTGACTGTCAACCTGCAATGTTTGTGGTTTTTCTGCACGGGCTGAGAATTTAGGATTTGGGTCTTGGGTTTAGTGCAAGGTGGGCTGTTTTTTTGGGCCGCTTAAAGCCAGATGATGTGCTGCAATTTTGGCCAGAAAGCGGACCCGGTTTTAGGGTCCAGAAAATGGACCCCGAAATGGCAGCCGCCGATCCAAAATGAAAAGAATCCTATTTTAATATGGAAGCGGCCGCAATTTTAGGGTCCAAAAAATGGACGCCAAAATGGGGGCCATTTTCGGGTCAATTTTTGGCTTCTCAGGCGTTGGCTTTTTGGCAGTGGTGCAACTTCGCTTTGCGTGAAGCAAGCCGAGAACCTTTGGTCATCAATTTGGATGAGTCCAGCATTGGCTTTCACTGGAGCGGTTTGTTTGGCACGGTTTCGGACCGTGAGGCTACAGACAAAGTCAAATCCACGACCGCGAAAGCAAGGGCAACATACATTTGTGCTGTGACGCACGATCCAGAAGTTCAGCAGCTCTTGCCCCAGGTGCTTCTTGGAAACACCCGTTGCTTCACAACTGCATTTGTGCAGCAGGCAGCAGAGCTTTTTCCCCATTTAGTGGTTTGGAGAGAGAAATCTGCTTGGAACACGCAGCGCTTGATGGCCAAATATCTGCGTTGTCTTGGTGACAGACTTGGACCAATCCTGGAAACCCGTCAAGTTTACTTGCTTTTAGATTTGGCACCATGTCACCTGCATGACTCCTTGTTTGACTTGGCCTACACTTTGGGCTTGCGTTTTCTATATATTCCTCCAGGGATGACTTCTTTGCTGCAGCCTTGTGACAGTCACGTTTTTGCAGCGTTCGAACATGATTTGCAAGAGACATGGAGGCAAAGAAAGGCCACGGCCCTGGCAGGACAAGTCACTTTGGAAATCTGGCTGGAAATTGTTGCCATGGCTATCGCAAAGCTTGCTTCCAAGCCATGGCGGCATGCGTTTGACAGCAATGGAATTTTCGATCGCCAGCAGAAAGCTTCATCTGCTTTGCTCCGCAAGCTTGGCTGGGCTCACGTTCCGCTTGTGCCTTCGGCACTTCTGACTGGCGCTTTGGATCAATTTCTTTTCCCTGTGAACTGGCAAGGCAACGCAGCTAAGTACATACAGTGGAACCCGCATGCAGTCCGCACGTTAGACTGACCTTAGACGCGTCTTGAAAAGATGGGTTTGTTGGTTGCGCACGAAGCACGTACCGGGGAGGCCCTGCTTGGGGGCTTCAGAATTGTGAGTCCAAAATGGGCTCCATTTTGGGGTCCGCATTACCGGCCAGGAAGTCTTGAAAGATGAGTTGCAAAAACTCAAGGGCCAGCAGGCTGACCTGCGCAAAGCCATGCGGCAGAATCGCAAAGAAGCAAGGAATGCAACCAAGCGCAAGAACCGTTTGGTCAAGGCGCTGCGCAAACTTCTGAAGGTGAAAGCTTTCAGTTCACGGCGAGAGCGATCTTTTGTGCAAACAGTGCAACGTTTAGCCCTATATTGCTTAATTATTGTCAGGTTCTTCGTGTCCCCCTTGGTGTGTGTACACTGATGTATCAAGTTTGAGATACGTAGTTTGGTTGTCTGATGTGTTGTTGTTCCATTTTTTGAGTTGCGCTGTCTCAGAATTTGCTTCTAAGATTCCAAGGTATCTGGTGTCAGGTAACTCGTCCAAGGCTGATGGGTTGGTGGTATGTGAGGCAGCCAAGATGCTGTCAAAAGAAGATTTGAAGTTGTTGATCGAAGCGAAAGAGGCCAGAGAAGCTCAGAAGCCTTGCTATGCATTGTGCCGTCTGTGCTGACTCAGGCGGCTCCTCCGGTGCCTGTGCCAGACCAGGCTGGGTAGATTCACGTATTGCGGAGGGAAAGCTTCAGATGATCACATGTAACTTTGATTACCTTTGTTGCTGTAGGTGCAGGAAGGCCAAGACGTGCGTGGACTTGCAGGCCAGGTGGTTGACCGGCTGTCTTTTAGGACTGGTTGCGGCTAATGCATTACTGGAAGATGAAGTAGAAGCCTCGGTCTTGTTTCATTTTGAATTCCCCGCTGACAGCCCTTCCATTCTGCATTTTCACCCACGTTCTTGCTTTTCATATCGTGGCCTTGCAGGTCAAGGCCCTGGGGAAAAGGCCGAGTGAGGAACATCTGGCTCAGGTTGAATGGCTTTGGTGGTTGATCTCTGTTGTTTCAAGATTCATTTCTGACAAGTGGATAGCGTAGAGGTCGTCCAGGTAAGCCAGTGATATAGTCTGCAGCAGATAGGAAGCTACAGTTGCGGTGGCACAGATTGCAAGCTGCCCTTGGCATGCTCGCGGTCTTGGAACCGCGTTCTTGTTTGCTGAGCTGTGCAGAGGCAGTGGTGTAAACAGCAAAAGAAGGGCTGTGTGTGAGTAGGTGAGCGAAGACAGCAGAGTTTGTGATGTTTTACAACATGTCTTTCAAACCAACAATGGACAAAAGCTGGTTTGGAATCGGCCAGCCGTTTTTTTGACCACCTTTCTACCAGCTTTTTGAGGAATTTGCGCTGAAGAGCAGGGCCAGTGTGCATGTCTTGTTTGGTGTACTCGGAACGGTGGACGAGCGTCATCGTGGAGTTATTTTGTGCCAGTCTTCCTGAGGCCGGTGTTCAATGCCATGGGTGGGTGGCTGAGATGTTGCTCATTGGATGGCGGTACAGATTTGGATGTTAGTCGTTTTCAGCTTTGACTTGGTTGTCTCTTCGATGTATCTTTCTTGAACTTGCAGATTGTACGAAACTGGTTCATTGTTATTTGTCGTGCTGTTATCCTTTGTGGTCAGTGATTTTCAGATTTCACACTCATCTCCATTGATTCGATGGTCTGGCTCTGTGTTTGGATTTTTCATTTTCATTGGATGGATTTCTTTTGGGTTCCCGTTTAACCATTGGTTTTGGCGCTCCTCATTTCCTCCCTTCCTACGCTTCGTCGCTCACGTACTCATCACATAAAGAACAGCGTAGCATTTTGTAGCGATGGATTTTTGGTGTCTTGGCAGATCCTGTAACAGCTTTTTGTAGTGAATTGTCACTTTTTGTTCCCCGGTGCAGGTCTGCCCTGAAAATGCGCACATGCGCATTTCTTGACTCTCTATCTCTTGACTGGCTGATCAACAGCATTTTTCCATATTGTCGGAAGTTGGACTTCTAAACTTGGGGTCGTGCACGCTGATCTTGTATGCTACCAAAACCTGTGCGCAACTCACCCTATGGAATACACAGGGATTTCACGGCTGCTTTATCAGAGCGAGAGCGTGATTGAGGAAAGCGAGTTGCCAGGGTCTGGATCTCATCAGTTTTCCACAAGTCTGGTAAAAGCTTCTTTAGGCTAGGAGCAAGCAGCTTGTGCAGTGAGACATTGTCATGACGGTCATGGAATTGATGCACAGACTGAATTTGAAACATCTTTTTGTCTTTGAGTTGCCCAGGTCTAGGTTTGTTAGCGCATTTTTCCAGCGTGACAGTTGCCCTACCGAGGTTTCATGGACTTCAACGATCCGGCTCGTCTGCCCTGAGCTCAGCGACGACAAGCAAAAAAGACACAGAAAGAAAGCGAGAGAGAAAGAAACAGCGCAGAAGAGAGAGGGAAAGGAGCGAGACTCATTTGCCGTTTTTCCGAGCAAAGCATTGCCGCATTGCAGCAGGTTTCTGGCTCATTTTGCGTAGCCCAAACAATACGTACCCCAGCAATGACCCAAGGTCGGCGCCCGGAGAGGGCGCTGTGTGTGAGAGTGTTGAACCGTGTCGCACGCAAGTGTGGCCTGCAACCAGTCGCTGACAATGCTGCCCGAGCCAAAGTGGAATCGCTTGCAGCAGATGTCCTGGCCCGTGACCTTCTTCCTGCCGATGTGGAGGCAGTGAACAATAGCATGCAAAAGTACCAAGCGACTTTTGAAGCAGCAGTGCCAAACCCGGAGGGTCCTCCGCAGCCTTTGGCAAGTCCAACAACCTACAAATTTCAAGCCGTGCAGTTGACGTACAATTCTTCAGCAGCTGCGTTTGTGTCCCAGGACTTCGTAGAACTTGAAGCTTTGTTTGAACGGTTCAAAGTCTTTTTGGCTTCTTTGCGAGCATCTTTGTCTGTGATTGGCGTCTCTGCCACCATGGAGCGGGCATCACCTGAGCGAGTTCATTTGCATGCCTACTTGCATCTGTCCAAGCCATTCCACCGTCGTGGGGCTGACGCCTTGGACATGTTCAAGTTTGAAGGCTCATCGCCTCACGTGGAGCCCAACAGGGCATCTGGGAAGGCCTACATTGGTGCTGTGCGGTTTGGCCACTTCTACGTGGTTTGTGACAAGAAAGGCTCCTTGCTTCTTGGCAGTGACTTGGGAAAAGTGCCGGACTAAAATTCTAAAGGGTTTGCGTGGGGTCATTGGTTGGTTGTAAATGGCCGCGGACATTGGGTTACCTTGAGAATAGTATTATAGCGGCCCGAGTCCCCAACCAACCTCAAAACCGGAAATAGTATGGCAGAAGGCTTCAAAACCAGAACCTCAAAAAACCTCATCAATCGATTGAGAACCTCAAAACGTATTGGAAACGGGAGTCGCAAGCAAAACCTCAAAAAACCTCAGAAAACCTCAAATGCATCAGAGCCTAGCAGGTTTGGGTACAGAAATGCAGTTTTGTGGACCCCAAAGTTCCTAATAGACGGGCAGAAGTGTGACATTTCCAGATTATGAGAATGGGCGACAGCTGGACTTGCAGGTTCAACTTCAGTGATTGGCCACCTTTCCAAGCTTATGGCGTGGAAGGATGGTGGTTGGACAACTTGCTGAAGGCCGGGAAGCTTGAGCGGCATGTCTATTTGCGTTTGGCGGCCCAGGTGACAGTGGGTTTCCAGAAGCGTTTGGCAGATTGCCGCGCCGCGGAAAGGTTTGAGCATGACTTGCGAGTGCAGGAAGCAGTGGATGCTGCCACAGGTGAACTGCAACAAGCCATTTTGCCCATGAAGACCTTTGATGTGGTGGAGGCTGGGGTGTTTAAACGGATGAAAGATAGCAGATAGCAGGGTTTTGGTGGGGGTGTGCAATGTTTAAGCGAAGCAACTGTCCAGGAGTTCATTGCCTGCCATGACGGCGCAGCACGCTTCCGCAGACCAATCCTTGCCATTGTTGGCGGCACTCGCCTGGGGAAGTCCATGCTTGCAGTGGACATACTCAAACGCATTGCGGGCTGTTTGAACTTGCCAAGCTTTTTGGAGATCACAGTGGAAGACAGCGAGCAGATGGACTTAGCTGACTTTGACAGAGGCCAGCACGCTGGAGTCATATTGGATGGAGTTGGTGATGCTTACTTTCTCAAGCGGAATCGAGAGGTTTTGCAGGGGCGCCCCAAAATTGTCAAGGGTGCCCGATCGGCCACCAATGTTTACAGCTACAAGTACTCCTTTTGTTCCAGGGCAGTGGTTGCAACATTTGACTTGGGGGCATCCAACCTGACGGCTTTGAAGTCTGACCACTGGTTGCAAAACCGAAACAATGTGCAGTTGCTCTGGCTGGAGGCCCCTGTTTACCGTCAGCCAAGCCTACCGACTCCAGCTGCTGATGTCTGGAATGGCTCCGAGGACGGCCGCCGCAAAAGGCGTTGGATTGGTTCGCCTGCGCGTGTTCTTGACTTTGGCGCCAGCTAAAAAGATGTGAGTTCAAATTTTTGACCTGCGTTGGTTTTGATGGTTTTGGCTTTCCTTTTGTCAGATGAGTTTGGCTATGCAGACACATGTGATACGATAGGAAGGCAGTCCTGCATCATTGCAACTTTGTTTGAATCTGTGGTGTTTGTCCTTCATGTGGCTTTGCTAAGCTTGTATACGTGTTGAGGCCTGCGATGACACGTCCCATCCTCAAAAGGAGTTGTTTGCGTTTACTTTCAGCCTGTGACCGGTTTCAATTGAACAGGTGACTGAAGCTAGCCTGGCTTTGTGTGTCAGTGTTTGGCGTTCGTTTGCTGACCAGTTTGCAGTAACTGTTCCATGGTTCAGGTTCTTCGTGGATGGCTCCGGTCGCCAGTCTCTCAGATTGTCGGCCAAACTTGTTTTTTCCAATGTCCGAGCTCTGTGATTTCAAAGTGTTCCCATCCAGGCATTATGAAACGGCAGTGCTTACCTTGGCTCAAGTCGAACTTTTGGCACCAGTTGCGATCATGCCGCCGAAAGCTAAAGCTGCCGCCAAAGCTAAGTCGAAGGCGGAGGCCTTGCCTTGGGCACGGTGGGTGTTTGGTTTCTTCTAAGAGAGCATTTTTGGAGGTTGGTTTTGGCCTTTAAAAGTGGGTCCGTATTTTAGGCCAATTTTAGGGGTCTCACCTCGGGACCTCCTCTGTATGCCAGTAGGATGGCCATAGACAGTTTACGGCTACTGTACAAGTTTGGCCGCTTTACGGTTGTCTTCAAACTGGCATACTGTTTCTTGGCTCAGACTCTTGTGGTAGGCGTCTGCAGTTCTTCTTTTCGGTAGCATGTCCGACGAATTAGCTGAACTGCAGAGGAAGATAGCCAACTTGCAAAGGCGCCTCCGACGGGCCGCCAAGAGAAAGAAAGTTCGTGCGGACAAAGTTGACAAGCAATCCCTGGTTCTCTTCATTTTTCCGGACATCGTGCAGATGTTGCTGCTCATTTTCACCTTTCCATGTCGGACTCTTTCTCATCATTGGACAGCGCTGTGGCGCATGTAGAATGGTGCTACATCAAAGCACCCTTAGAACACAAGGTTCGGATCATGTTGGATCCTTCCAGCCAGCTTCCGAGGTGTGCATTGTTGCCAGCATTCAGTTTCTTACTTTTGTTTCAGCTGCGCGAGTGGGTGCGGAAAATGAACCATGAATTTGGCGTCGCCCCTTCACGGCGCATGCTATGTGAACGTTTACGTGAACTGATGCCTGAAAATTTGCCTGGGGAGTTGAGCGCCCGACTGCTCCGTCCCTTGGCCACAGCGCGAAGCCAGCGGAAGTATTTCAGTGCATTCAGAAAGCGGTTCGGGTGCAAGCTTGGCAGACTCCGAACCAGTCCGCCAATGCCGTTGCAGGAGAAGCAGTCCAAGGTTGGGATGTGTCATGGGACCTTTAGACAATTTTGTTTTGTTAATGCCCCGCAACTTCTTGCACGTGTCCGCAATACATGAAACAAAGTTTGATAAGTGACTGTCAACCTGCAATGTTTGTGGTTTTTCTGCACGGGCTGAGAATTTAGGATTTGGGTCTTGGGTTTAGTGCAAGGTGGCTGTTTTTTTGGGCCGCTTAAAGCCAGATGATGTGCTGCAATTTTGGCCAGAAAGCGGACCCGGTTTTAGGGTCCAGAAAATGGACCCCGAAATGGCAGCCGCCGATCCAAAATGAAAAGAATCCTATTTTAATATGGAAGCGGCCGCAATTTTAGGGTCCAAAAAAATGGACGCCGAAAATGGGACGCCAAAATGGGGGCCATTTTCGGGTCAATTTTTGGCTTCTCAGGCGTTGGCTTTTTGGCAGTGGTGCAACTTCGCTTTGCGTGAAGCAAGCCGAGAACCTTTGGTCATCAATTTGGATGAGTCCAGCATTGGCTTTCACTGGAGCGGTTTGTTTGGCACGGTTTCGGACCGTGAGGCTACAGACAAAGTCAAATCCACGACCGCGAAAGCAAGGGCAACATACATTTGTGCTGTGACGCACGATCCAGAAGTTCAGCAGCTCTTGCCCCAGGTGCTTCTTGGAAACACCCGTTGCTTCACAACTGCATTTGTGCAGCAGGCAGCAGAGCTTTTTCCCCATTTAGTGGTTTGGAGAGAGAAATCTGCTTGGAACACGCAGCGATTGATGGCCAAATATCTGCGTTGTCTTGGTGACAGACTTGGACCAATCCTGGAAACCCGTCAAGTTTACTTGCTTTTAGATTTGGCACCATGTCACCTGCATGACTCCTTGTTTGACTTGGCCTACACTTTGGGCTTGCGTTTTCTATATATTCTTCCAGGGATGACTTCTTTGCTGCAGCCTTGTGACAGTCACGTTTTTGCAGCGTTCGAACATGATTTGCAAGAGACATGGAGGCAAAGAAAGGCCACGGCCCTGGCAGGACAAGTCACTTTGGAAATCTGGCTGGAAATTGTTGCCATGGCTATCGCAAAGCTTGCTTCCAAGCCATGGCGGCATGCGTTTGACAGCAATGGAATTTTCGATCGCCAGCAGAAAGCTTCATCTGCTTTGCTCCGCAAGCTTGGCTGGGCTCACGTTCCGCTTGTGCCTTCGGCACTTCTGACTGGCGCTTTGGATCAATTTCTTTTCCCTGTGAACTGGCAAGGCAACGCAGCTAAGTACATACAGTGGAACCCGCATGCAGTCCGCACGTTAGACTGACCTTAGACGCGTCTTGAAAAGATGGGTTTGTTGGTTGCGCACGAAGCACGTACCGGGGAGGCCCTGCTTGGGGGCTTCAGAATTGTGAGTCCAAAATGGGCTCCATTTTGGGGTCCGCATTACCGGCCAGGAAGTCTTGAAAGATGAGTTGCAAAAACTCAAGGGCCAGCAGGCTGACCTGCGCAAAGCCATGCGGCAGAATCGCAAAGAAGCAAGGAATGCAACCAAGCGCAAGAACCGTTTGGTCAAGGCGCTGCGCAAACTTCTGAAGGTGAAAGCTTTCAGTTCACGGCGAGAGCGATCTTTTGTGCAAACAGTGCAACGTTTAACCCTATATTGCTTATTGTCAGGTTCTTCGTGTCCCCCCTTGGTGTGTGTACACTGATGTATCAAGTTTGAGATACGTAGTTTGGTTGTCTGATGTGTTGTTGTTCCATTTTTTGGAGTTGCGCTGTCTCAGAATTTGCTTCTAAGATTCCAAGGTATCTGGTGTCAGGTAACTCGTCCAAGGCTGATGGGTTGGTGGTATGTGAGGCAGCCAAGATGCTGTCAAAAGAAGATTTGAAGTTGTTGATCGAAGCGAAAGAGGCCAGAGAAGCTCAGAAGCCTTGCTATGCATTGTGCCGTCTGTGCTGACTCAGGCGGCTCCTCCGGTGCCTGTGCCAGACCAGGCTGGGTAGATTCACGTATTGCGGAGGGAAAGCTTCAGATGATCACATGTAACTTTGATTACCTTTGTTGCTGTAGGTGCAGGAAGGCCAAGACGTGCGTGGACTTGCAGGCCAGGTGGTTGACCGGCTGTCTTTTAGGACTGGTTGCGGCTAATGCATTACTGGAAGATGAAGTAGAAGCCTCGGTCTTGTTTCATTTTGAATTCCCCGCTGACAGCCCTTCCATTCTGCATTTTCACCCACGTTCTTGCTTTTCATATCGTGGCCTTGC